AAAAAAAAAAAATCTCCTTGTTTTCATCTAAAATTGATTCAAGCTAAAAGAAGATAAGAACTTAAGAAGATGTAAATGGCATTTTATCAATGATAATCTCAGGCAGGCGCAGTGGAAAACACACCTTCGGACAAAGGTTCTCTTGTGGATATTTAAGAGCAGCAGAGAGAGGGGACTGGGGTGACTGTTCTAGAGGTGGGGATGAACTTCTCATGACCTCTCATTTCAAAGGATGTCAGAGGTGAGTTGGGCTTCACACCCAGCTCACATGAACACTCAGGGAGCAGCCTGCAGGAGAGTTCTAGTGAAAGGCAACTTCCCCGTGTTCGCAGGGAGGAGCATATTCATGAGGGGAGAGTACAGTGGTGGCCCATGGGATGACTGGGGAAAGTCTAGTAACAGACTCATACAGACCGCTCTGTGCACTCAAGACACTTACTGCTTTCTTTGGAAATTCCTGCCCCAGACTAAGCCACTGGTCCCCCATACCCTGCAGGAAGGCATACAAACTCTGGATGTAGCCTGACTAGATACCTAGTTTTCTCTCTGCACATTTTCCTTTTATATCTTCCTTCCCTACTCCCTGGGTGTTTCCATTTCATCATCTGAAAAACAGGAATTGATACTGTTTCCCTCATTATCAAATTAGAAACCATATGTTTAACTCACTTGGTATGCTCTGCTATATGAATGCTTAAGAGCTTCCTTAACACTATCATTTTCCACTAGATCAGGACAGAACTATATTCCACCCTCCTTTGGATCTCTGCCCACACAGAGCAGAGCTGTTAACACTCCTCACACAGCCACCCCACACTACACCTGGCCCCACATTCCATTCTCCCATTCATCTCTGAGTCAGCAGGGCCCCCAGATTCAGGCCACCAGCCTCCCTCACTCCCTTCCAAGTGTACCTTATAGAGCATATAGTGGTTTTTCGTCACTGCAAAGATGAGGTTGATATTGTTCTCTGCCAATTTCTCTCCAAGCAACGCAAGGGATGGATAGTCCTAGGGCCAAGGCAAAAGTCAAGGCTGTAACATTTCTTGCAAGTAGAGACACTAGCACCTGGCTCCAACGTGCACTCAGCAGCTCATCACCCATGCAGATAATAAGCATCTTCCCCTAGCAGCCCCTTAATAGCCAAGCCCCCTGGGCAGCTCCTTACTGAGAAGCTGTGTAGGGAAGACTCTCCAGGAAAGGACCCTCTGGCACCCACCAAACTAGACTCACTCCTCCTGCCCCTCTCAACCCAGAATGGAGAAGTGATGAGTGGAGGTCTCCCACACTTGGCTCGTGTTTCCATCCTTCTGCAGAAATGCGACAGAGTGGGGAAGCCAGCAAAAGAGCAGTGACCACATCCTACCATCAGCACCTGTTTGTCCTCTCTCCTCCAAGACTTTCTTCCTGATCTCCTCGCCCTATTTTCCTTTTCCCATGCCCAGTGTTGGGCCTGCCAATGTCCTGTATAGGTTCTGCTCAGTCCTCTCACAGCTCAGAATGGGCAGAAAAGGCTGCTGACATTTGGACAAGTTGGGCTGTGGCATGGGAAAGGGTAGAGAGGAGGGAGGGAGGGAAGATGCTCCCTGAAGGATGCTGCAAGGCAGCTTAACAAAGTCCTGAAGGATTTTAAGGGCCGATAATGGGTCCAGAGTCCTCATCAGTGAGGTTCTACAGTTATCAGGTAGTATAATTGGGAGTTCTTTCTCTGGACTCCATTATTCTTGACCGCCTCTTGAAACTGGAGAAAATGGGTTAGTCCAGCAAGATTTAGAAAGAATTTCTCTCTAGTCAACCACTCTACCAATGCACTCTGGAAAGCACATTTGGGAAGGAAGAAGATGTCTGGGAAGAAAAAACAAACTGTTTATAGCAAGTGTGAAAAACATCTTAATTTTTGGGTCTGGGTGATATGTAGGTAGAAGTTCACTTACTGGCCTATTTTATGTTTGAAATTCTGCATAAATTCTACTTAACTGCACAACCACAGTGACAGATTCCCGGGCAAGTCCTTGGGGCTTCTCACCCAGTACAGGACACCTGCCACCCACCCCCAACACTGATGGAACTCAGGCAGGAAACCCAGGAAGTCTTGTCTTTGCTGGTCTTGCCCCATAACTTCTGTCCCAGTTTTTTTTCCTCTGCGGGAACACAGTCCTCTCTCTTGTGTAAAATCGCCTCTTCCCTTTGACATCTATCCTGTCTTATCCACCTCTTCCTTTAACTAAACATTCCCCATGTGGATGCATAACAGCAGAAAGATGAACCAGCTATAGAAATCCTTGAGAAACACTCTAAGGTAATGATGAGCAGGAGTTCTGGAAGCCCAGTTGGAGGAGATGGAATAGAAACCCATTCCCAAGAAAGGATGGGGAAGTCAGTGAGCAGAGGTCCAGAGGAAGGTGGTCAAGGCTGGGTGAGGCCTCAGACCACAGGCAGATTCACAAGGGCAGTGCCGGGGGTCCGGCCCTCACCATCTGGTTGGATGCCGTATACTCGTTGGCCTCATTCAGGTGGCACTGGCCATCGTGCGGCTGCACCAGGCCCCCTAGCTTTCCGTCCAGTGCGATGTGGGGCACGTCGTCCGTGGTGAACACCAGCAAGTGCAGTGCATCCTTTCGCCAGCCGATCTTCTCCTGAGGGACAGAGGTTGACAGGTTTAAAGGCTTCCTAGCTGCTGCCCAAGCCTGCCCTGGGGCATCAGACAGGGCACTGGCCCTTTTCAAGGGTTGTGGTGCGGATCAGAGGTGATCCTCTGTGTGCATAGCTGGGGATCACTCTGCAAGCACTGGGGGATTGCAGAGAGCCAGCTGATGGGGGAAGCCGAGGGGCAGAGCTGAATCCCCATCTTGGGGCCCACCTGTGCCTGGAACCCCTCGCTGCAGGCTGCCCTCACTGCTCCCACTCTCTACCTGATGGCCACTCCTCCTGGAGGCCTGTCCTTTGAGTCTCCCATAGTATTCCTTCCACAGGACAGCCGTTAGCCTAACCCAACCTCCCCACCCTCCAACATATTCAGCTGGCTGCCAAGGTCTAAGATGACCAGCAAGTGACCACTTCAGTCCCCCAATTAAGACACAAATCACTCAGAACAGAGTGCCTAAATGACCAACAGATGATCTGTCTTTGGAGAATCTGGTAAAATCTGCCATCTTTCTGGTAGATGTAAACCACTTCAATCATTAATTGAACTACTCCAGTGATTAAGGTCAATCAGATAAGCT